AAAGATTTTCTTAACCTCATCAATGAAGTTTTGTGGGTCTTTTACCAAATTGTGACCCTAAAACTTAGCCAGATTCATCCTAAAAAAAAATCTTGAAATCTAGCTACCACTGATCTACCATTTCTATTAGTAGGAAATGGAACCTGCTGATTGTTATTGTTGGTCATACTCTGAGCCAATAGTTGGATCGCATTCTGAAACTCTTCGTTCTTAACCTCATGGTCTGGGACTAGAGGAATTACGTTAGCATTCCTGGCGTTAGCTCTACAGGGAGGCATGATCTTAAGCGCATAACGATGGATTAGAAAGGAGATCATACCAATGCACGATAAATGAGTCTTGATCCACGGACACAGACCACGGACCGTGGTCTGACCTACGGACCGTGGGTTGAGACCTACCCTATTTTTCTGAGCTTGGCTGGGGAGGGGTTGCAGTGGTGAACCACGGACCACCAGCACGGGTCGTAGTCTGACTTACTATCCGTAGATGGAAATCGTGTGTTGCATCTGTAACTTCTCAAAATCTGCATTTTTGGTCTGTTTCAGATACGAGGTGTTACAGTGTTAAAGGTGGAAAAAGGGACGCACATGCTCTTAACCTGGTTGAATCGAAAATTGATGATTCTTGTTACATACAAAGAATAAATTATATAGTTGATACAAACAATTCAGATGTGAAGTTGAAGCACTTATACCCGATAAAGCAATTCTAATGGCTGAAATGGCAAAATACAAAATAGATCATAGCTTCAATTTTTGAGTTGAAATATCTGATAACAAAAGGTAAGTGATCAGAATTATTGTGTTGTAATACACTTTTTTTACTTTTTGTCAATGTGTTTGTTATATATTGGTCATGATACATTACTAATTACAACTTGATACATTACTAGTTTGCCGCATATATGTTGGATTTTTAGATCTGTGTATCAATGTGTAGTTATAATAAAGTATCAGGTACATGTTAATTCGTTCTTCTTATTTTCTGTAATGTATCATTATAGAGGCATGGGTAATTAAGACACACATTTTTTGTGTGTTTTGAATGTGTTTGTTAATAAATTAGTCATGATACATTGCTAGTTACAACTTGATACATTATTAGTTTGCCGCATATGTGTTGGATTTTTAGATCTGTGTATCAACGCGTGGTTATTATAAAGTATCATGTACATGTTAATTCGTTCTTTTTATTTTTTGTAATGTATCATTATAGAGGCATGGGTAATTAAGACACAAAAGTATAAAATGTATCAGTTAGTTGATGTGTATCTGACACATATAATTTGTTGTCGACAATAATATGTAAGACACTAAGTGCATTTACGGTCCATTAAGAATACATGATAATAATGTATCTTGAACTTTTTTTTTGGAATGATACATGAAACTATGCTTCATTTTAATATATTTGGTATAATTAAAATTATATAAAAGTGTGTTTTTTGGAAGACTGTTGTTGAAGATTGAAGGCATCTGTTAGGAGAAATTCAGATATATTCAAAGTGAGGTACTTCAATAATGAACATAATGGATTCCATGCCGGATAAGAACGATTGGTCAGTTTCAGAATTCGTTTTGGAAGAAATTATCTAACCACCAAGATACAAAAGGATGTCTAGACGACTAAGAAAAAGAAGAAAGAAAAATTCAAAATGGAAAGCTAACCACAAACACAAACTGTTGTGGGCATTGTAGATAAGGTCACAACCGAAGAACTTGTACTTTCTTTTTCGAAAGATGGTTGACGAAGTTTTTATTTAGAATACCGTGATGTTTCAGATTAATAATTTTCAAATTGTAACATTTCAATTTATAGAGTTTTCATTGTTACAAATATATGCATTACAAAGTATTATTAGTTTATTAATTTCTCATACAATAAATTGAAATGTTACAATTTTCAATTTTGTCTATATTTCTTATTGTTAATAATTTGTTCACATTGTCAAGTTATATAAAAGTTTGAGAATTTGGTACAAGCTATTATCTAAAATGATAGATGCTGAACTGGTTGAAATCAAATTGAAATTAAAATGTGAACATAATTCTAGATAATACATAATTCTAACTACGTAGTATCTTTCGCTTTAGTTGATACTTAATGATAAAAAAAATAGTAACTGATTCTCAATACCAAATGATGTTGTATATAGTATATTTGAATCTGATACAAAATGTAACATCATATATTTATAATATGACATTTAAGTATCACGTGTTCAACTTTTTTAGACTATGATACACTGTTCTTCAATTTACACCCATCATATAATTTGAACTTTACTCTTTGATACATTGACATAAATATTTTATTTTAAAAAGGACAAAAAATAGGATTTTATTTGTAAAAATGAATAACTGATACTCAATACCAAATGATGTTGTATACAATCTGCCATTTATTTGAGTCTGATACAAAATGTAAGATCATTTATTCATTAAATGTTATTTAAGTATCACATGTTTAACTAATTTAGATTATGATACACTATTATGCATGTTACATTCCATCATATAATTTGATACTTAATACCTTTGATACACTAATCATAATATGTCAACAAAATATATCAAAATTAAGATTTTATGTGTAAAAGAGAGAGATTTAAAACAAGATACATAATAATATGATACTTAGATCTTTAACAATAATGTATCAAATTTAAAGAAACTAACAACAGGGGAAGAAATAGATACTAAATGAGCTGATATATTTGAATATCTTATATAAATGTATAAGTTGAATTTATTGATACAAAAGTATATCAGCAAATAAATACATTTGATTACATTGATACAAGAAGTACAACAGTGAAACGATACCCCTAAATATACTGATACAAATATCTAAAAATGAACAAATACACAAAAATTTCACCAAAAACACAAAAAATACATCCAGATCTAAAAAAAAACTATAAAAAAATACATAAATAAGTTGAAACACTCACTCACCCATCGTGTTAGGCATAAAAAAATATATACACAAATTGAAACACCCACCCATAAACATAGTGACCCTTTCACTCGAGAACTCAAAGGGGGGAAAGAATTCTTCAACATAGTCACAAGAAGGTGGTCTACGACCGTTAGATCCCTAGAAAGAGGAGCAACTAAGAAGAGAGGGGTATAAAAGAAGGAAAGAAATGTCTTCGATCTACTCATTTGATCTCACAAAAAAATACACACCCATCGTTTGGATATTGTGGTACAACGAAGATGATGGAGCAAGAAGAGGTTGAAAATAATAATGGGTGAAGAGGAACCATGACAAGGTTAACTCAAAAAAATACAAACCAAAAAAGAAGTTACTTAATTGTGAGAAATTCTGAATCGTCTTGGAGATTCACATTAAGAATCGAAATCAATTTGATTTTTTTTTAAGTTTTGAAAGGAAAAGTTAAGCGTAAAGGTATCAGACAAAATCTATGAAAAATAAAAAGACGCAGAACAACAAATTGAAGAAGATGAGACTACCAATTTTCAGATTTGAAATTGGTTGACTAGAGAGAAACTTTTTGAAATTCAAATTAGGAAAATGAGATAATTGATTTGATTGTGTGAGTGAAAATAGGGAGAGATGAAGGAGTGAATGTAGGAGTGTGGAACGTTTGTTTGGAGTGGAGAGGAATAATGTATCCGAATGGTTTGGATTTTGGGTGAAAAGTAGTGAAAAGTAGGCATTTTTGTATTATTCTGAAATGATAGGGAAAAATTGAGAATTATGATAAATAATGGTGTGTACTTAAGTAATTTATTCTTTTATTATTGATCAAGAATATGATATCATTGTTAACAGCTTGTTCCTTGCAGGCTGCAACAATTATTGATCAATCTGCAGTCATTGCACCAGATGTAGCTAGGTGACCAAGAACTTTACAAGCAATGATCGAGATTTCAGGATCACGCTTTGTTTCAAAGTAACGAGCGTGTAATTGGAGAATTTTGCCACTTTTGATGCATTTTCGCTGATGATGACATCTATTAGCTCGTCAATAGCCCTCAACGCTCCTAGATTTTCAGAAACTTCATTACTATCAAGAAATGTGGTAATGCGTTCATATAGATGATCCATAAAACGAGCAAAATCTTCTCCACTAAGATCACAAGCTTCTTTATCTACAAGCCGCCTCAAAGTCAATGCAGCCCCATCCTACCAGAGAGAATAAAATAAGATTTCTAGTAATTGGAACTTTTGAAGAGGGAACTTGGAAAACTAGAAAGAGGAAGAGGGAGAGAGCATCCAGTAGCATTCAACTCAAACAACAACATTTGGCCAAAACAAAATGTTATATGATTAAGACAGAAACCTACGTCAAAAGACTGCTATGCTAACCCTTAAATAGAAAATAAAACGGGAAAAGTGATTGAAAACACAAACAAAACTTGGTATTCACATAATTATTCAAACTATAAAGTTCACTAACATGATTGATATAAATTTAAAACCACGACCTATCCATCTCTCTTGATTGATGGAGGGGAAAGTAAATAAGCATAATTAACAAGAGGCATATAAGAGGAATCTTGTATACAAAACAGTGAACAGTCACTTCTATATGTCATGATATCAAACTCGATTATAACAAAAACATAAAGGAACCCACACTAGTAATAAAAATTGTGTTAGATAAAAGTAGTCGTCCTCCGATCCACCTTGCTTTCCTTCTAAGGCTATACAAAAGAAAGACTTTAGGAGTATATCTGTTCGCCTTTTCCACAAAAATCCAAATAAAAATAAATGTGCCCAAAAGTAAAGTGCATCATTTTGCTTTCTTTCTATTTCAATCTCTTTTGACTTCCTGTAAAATCGAGGAAGGAAAATCAAGAAAAGAACTCACGAGGAATGTTTCAGACAACTGTATCCAAGACTTCCTGTTAAATTGAGGAAGGAAAATCAAGAAAAGAAATCTTTATAAAAAAAAATCAAGAAAATAACTTAAGATGAGTTGTTTCAAATAACTCTATCCAAAACTTCCTGTTAAAATTGAGGAAAGAAAATCAAGAAAAAGAACTCTTTATAAAAATAAAAAATTCAAGAGAAGAATTCAGGATGTACCAAGAACTAAAATCTTGAACAGTCTTGTATCCTAACAAAATGAAAAATCATGTATGACTCCACTTCCTCACCAATTCAACAAATGACTAAAGAACATAAAGATTCCCTGAACTGTTCCAACTCCACAATTTCCAACAATTTTTTTTTCTTGAAAGAGAAGAAATCAAAGAACCTTAGGATTGCCTCTGGTGCACAAGTGGACAAGAACTCTATTGAGAGCATTGATATTTCCGGCACCGGTGGTTACAACAACAACATCATAATAAGTAAATTCAGTGTTGATTTTCTGACAATTGCACTCTTTTCCTCTGACCTCCCAACCGCTACTTCTGCAACCTCACATATTACACGTGCCAAATGAAACTGAATACTCTTCACATAATTTAGCCCACACCTGAAGCACTCGACTCCTTGCATAGGCTGACACATCCCTACAAACAAGATTTCCAACATGGCCTGTGTGGTTCAGAGACGAATCGATTTAGAACTCACTTTAACTTCACTATCATCAAAAGCCTTCACGACCAACTTACCCAACATCCCAACAAGAACATTTCTCATCTAATAAGATTCAACTCCAAAATGTGGGATTAATATGCCAATATTAGTTGAGACCAACTTACGCAATCTATCAGCAAACTCTACAAGAAAGCGCCCAACCTTTTCGGCCCCTATTGTATCCATCACATAATCTTTCGGGGGCTGTCCTTCCTATCTCTCTGATAAGAGAAGAACCCATGCTACCATCAGCATACTTCTTTTCAACCCAAAGCAACTGTATCAGCCAAATGGGAAACTGCAAAATCATATTTTTGAACCAGATGCAAAATTGAAACACATGATTGTGCAGCATAGTGGTATTTGGTAATTGGTAGCACATGTCCTGATTATGTGAGTCAAGGCGCCTTTTGTCTCTGAATATTTTAAGATTACCGCATTCTCGAACACCGAAAAAGCATTTCTACAACAAACCACATCATCAGATTGAGTTAGTATTTTGATCCACTAAAAGATAATCAGCTCAACGAAAAGGAAAGAACCATACTTAACCATGAAGGACAAGTAATTTTCATCAGGGTCTGATGATCCAAGGAGTAACGAGAGGTTGATCTCTAAAGAATTTGCAACTGAGTTCGGTATCCTTGCCATTTGTGACTCCCAATTCCACGCAATAACAAGTTACTTCTTTCAACTAGTCGACGTTGCTTTCCATTTGCGTGATTGATTATACAAGGACTAAATTGCGTAGAAGACATCACCAAAAAAGAATTTGCTATGAGTTTGCAGCAACACAACGCAACATCCTTCTGTGTAGCTCCATTCTCATCTTCTAAATATATAACAACAGACTCCCTTGCAAACTCAAGAAGATCATGCCCCTGTAACCCAAATCCACTATCAAACTTAACTGTCAAGAAGGGAAATAAAGTGCACAAAAATATAGACAACAAACCTTGAAATTAAAACGAGCAAGAGTTTGCAAAGTAAGTTGAACTAGCACAGAACCACTCAGTACTGGTACTTGGGGGGTAATTGTAGCAAGATGCCCTCGACTCAAAGCAACTGATTGTCTTGACATTGGATGATGAGATCTTGAAAGGATTGCTGAGATACATTCAAACAACCGATTGTGAATGGTCAGCAACAAAGGTGGAATGCTGAGACAGAAAATACATATGTTACATAGAGCAACACCACACAAAAGAACCAGTTCATGAAAGTTCTGCTCAAACTTAGAGAACCTTTCAGATAGTAACTCTAACGAATCAACCAGTGTTACGGAAAACCTAGTAGAAAACATAGGATCCAAGAGACCACGAACATGAGGCTCCATGGTTGGTCCCATTGCTTTAGCAATATGTCCGACACATGCTAGAGCCTCAAGTGAGAGTCTGCCTCTATGGGAGCAATCTGAGAGAAACATATTTCACCTGTCAGGGTTATTGCTTCACGCATATAAATGTTACAGAAAGAACCTACAACATAAATCTGTAATGCTGCGACACAGAAAATACATATGTTACCCTTGAGCAACACCGCACAAGAACCAGTTCATGAAAATTCTGCTCCAACTCACAGAGAACCTTTCAGTTATTTACAACTTCTTTATAAATTATGAACACAGAAAAGATAATTTCCCAATAAAAGAACTGGAAACAGTACCGCAAGTACATCTGCTGGATCAAGAAGTCTGGAGGAATGGAAGCTTTTCCTTATCAGCGGACCGCTTAAGTTATCCACTTCGTTTATTTAAACCTATGATTCTAGCCGACCTCTTTTTTTTTTTGATAACCGAGAAATCCATCTGTGACCCGCCTTTGGACCAATCACAGCTTTCTAAACTCGGTGAATAATGGGCCCGCCCCTCTACCCTTCTCTACTTAAATACCAGGCTTCGCTTTGCATGGTGTGGGGCTTGAACCTGCGACCTAAGCCACAAATCCTCCACCTTCTAGCCGACCTCATTTGTTTCATTAATATTAAGACTAGAGTGGCATGGCCCATGCTTGAGCACGGGCCCAACATTTTACACTTAAAAGCGATAGATGCACGAAGATATACAACTATAAACAGTATCGATATATTGCAACTGAATTGATGCAGAGGTATTTAATACCTTTCATAGGGAAACATTGTCTTTCTTTTCCATCAACAAAGGCATATAGGAATTTTCCATTATGGTGGTCACTATAAATTTCTTGTCAAACAATTCTACCAAGTGCAAAGTTAGTTCTATCCACTAAAAGAACAAAAAGGTAGTATATAAATTATCAAGGAAATATTCACAAGTCCAATTTGAAATATAACATATATACCAGTCTAGTACCAGACTTCAAAAAAAGAAGGGAAAAATCCAGAGTCCTATTCACAGACCATTCTAATAGTCATTATACAACAACAATCCATATCTTCAAATACATCATGAGCATATCCTAATTCAACAGTGCTGGAGGTGGATCCCCTAGTTTAGCAATCGTTCTTCAACAATTCAAAAAGGCAAAAGCTATATCATATGAAGCAAATAGGTCCCTTGAAAAGATATGTATCAATCTGTCAAGTAAGGTGGAAATAAAAGAAGTGTATACATTTTATAAGAAGATAACAAAATCTTATGAAACAATGCAGCAAGAAAGAATTGCTGGAAAAGAAACATAAAAGAGATGACCCCATTTAACAGAAAAGCTTTGTACTTAACGATAATATAGAGTATGAAAACATATTGTCTCCAGTCATGTTGTATGTAAGCTAATATGAAGATACAATAAAATGTCAAGCCAAAAAAATGTAGTCCTCAAGTCTAGAGATACCTATATATGATGTAAGCACATTCACAAACCCATTGATTAATAAACTGGGACAAAAGGTCAACTATGCATCTTAATAAAGAAAACAGTTGAAAATCATTCTATTTCTTCTCATTACCAACAAAAAGAAAAGGTGCTATAAAAAATAAAGGATCACGAAAAGCTATATAAGGGTGTCCTTTTTTGGGATGAATAAGAAGCTCAGAAGCTATCATGTCTCCATCCCACCCAAAAGAAAACAAAGAAATTAATAGATAACTCAAAAGATGTTACCAGTTATATCACAATTCATATATCCTTCTGAAATTCTAGATAATTTAAGTTACTATCTTTGTAAGTCGTTTTGAGCATCTGTGAAGATAAAAGTAACCATCTAACATACTTTTGGGTCATTCTTATGGCATAGATACCATTAACTTTCTCTGCAGTTTGTACCAAACGAAAATTAATCATAATAAGGATGTACCCAAAATTGTAGTGAATGACAGGGACTACTCCTCTTAGAAGCCATTCTACCCCCAAAAAAGTAACAAATACTCAATGAATACCAAGATGAAAAACACGTGCTACTAGAATCTAGATTTTATCAACTTAATGAATTTGAACTACCTTTAGATCAATATTTAATAACATACACTAATAGCTAACAAATTCTCAATGAAAATTTCATAACAGACACTAACAACTTGCTACCTTTAGATCAATAGTTAATAACAAACACTAATGCTAATAAATACTCAATGAATATCAAGTTGAAAAACATGTACTGCTAGAATCTAGATTTTATTAACTTGAAGAGTTCGAACTACCAACCTGGGCTAAATCAAGCAGCAAAAACGCTAAATAACATCTTTGTTAGTTCCATGTGATGGTTCTCCTTACTGAGTGTAGTTGTACCAGATGATAATCCCAAAAAGTTTTGTTTGCAGTCATCAAAAGTAACAACTAAAAAGTTTCCTTTAACAGTCACCAAAAGTAACAAAAATAAGGAAGATACTTCCTACAATCATAGACAATACCGAGAAAGTCAAAATATATGAAAAGAGAATTTGAGTTACATTATATTTCAATCGTCTCAATTTAAAAATCCAATCCCATCTAAGCTTTGTTGTACGTACCTAAGAAGTCGACCTTTTATAGCCCTTTTACTGGTGTGGATGATTCAATTTTCAATCCAAAGCTTGAATAATCGAGTAGAACATCATATGGTTCCAACGCTATCTCACTTGTGCTTCGAGGCTTGACTTTTTTTATTTTCTCATCATCTGCTCTTTATCTCACAATTTTTTTGTGAGAAATATATATATCGTTTATCTATCTCTTGTCTATCTATCCTTGATTCTCAAGTCCAATTTTTTGGTTCCCCGAAGCCCCGAATGGAATGGATCGTTTCTGCCAACGAAATGAATGCGGAGCCCGTTCTGAATGCTTCTACTATCCGGAAGTTCTCACGAAGAGAATAAGATGTTGTTCCCCTTCCCTCTTTCTTTTCCCACTGTTGGTGGAAAGATGACTTCCTTTTCTGTGTAAGACAACTGATAGGGTTATGTTTGTGACATAGGAGTCCCTCCGGTATGACTTTCGTAGTTGAATTTGGAAGCATCTATCTGACAACATGCTTTGGACATGGTTAGCAGGAAGGAGTTGCTTCTGAAATTGGAAATAGGCATTTCTTCGACTCAATTAAATATATGGTGCAAATAAAGTTGGTTGGACAGCTTTGCAGTATTAGTAAATTTAAAATATATATAAACTATACTAGTACATTTAAATAAAGGATAGCTTTGACGCAAGTTGTGTCAAATATGTGTTCAGCTGTCATGAAGAGCATTTTTTTCAGCCAAACCTCAAGAAATTAAGGCTGATGTCAACCCACTACCATCAATTAGGTCAATTTGAAAGGTACACTTGCAATCATGGTGAGGAAAGACATACTATTCAGCCATCTCTCATCTGCTTTATCAATGTATTTGTTTCAATCATAAGTAATATAAAGTTGATCAAATATCAACAGAAGTAATACTATTAAGTTGATCAAGTACTCACAACATATTAACCACAAGTAATACCAAGTTATATAGTATAGAATCGACATTGTTTAACGTAATGTGAATGAGCCTTCAGTCATATGATAGCGATATATTCTGTTGTAAGGAAATCTATAAGCAAAAAATATAATACCAAGGCACTAATATTGCCTATCGGTGACACACTGTGCATTCAAACGCTTTTGTCTTTCGTACGCCTTTTCTGCTAATTACATCCAGAACACTCGAGCACACAAAAATTTTGCAAATTATTTGAAATTCACTTTATGTGCTTCCACATGGATAATTCAATTTGTCCAGGAGAACAAAAAAACAGTAATGTGAAATGTATAGAAAAACTCCTCCGCAATGTGAAAGAACTAAAAGGAAAAGGCACAATAGAAAGATTAGCAACCTAAAAGAGAAAATCACTCTAGCATCAAAAGCAAAGTTTTGCCAAAGAAAATGTATGAATTATTTTTTGACCAGCTTTTCCTTCTAACAACTTGTTTACAAGGCAGTGGATAGCGAAAACACCACAATCATAATGTGATTATTACCACGATGACCATAATATGATTTGAAGTCCTAGCTATAAACACCCTGCCCCATAAGATATTTAGTAGGACTATATTTATATTTGTAAATGCTTCCAGGAGAAATTTATTATATTTGTAAAACTTACAAATGTTTCACAATGGGAATAACTTGCTGGTGAGTAGGAGTCACTATGAGAGACGTGGATAATCTGGAGATGTTGTCCAATGTATAGCTTGAAAGCATGTCTTTGTTTGTTTTTTTCCTTATTTAGAAGAAAGAAGAGAGAACTTATTTTTACTAATTATCACCATATATACATATATAAGCTAACATGCAAACTTGAGGGGAGAAGTTTTTATTAACCATAGAACACCTACAATATGAATTTTTTTTTATTACAACACTCATGTCAAGGACAGTGATCTTTAAACTTTACAATTTTAGAGCTAAATCATACCTGCAAATTCAAAAATATTTTCTAAGATCAATTCGCGACTATGCAACATAATCATCCACCATTTCTATTCCTCAAATTAAGAATTTGTATCAACTTTAAAAGAAGTAAGTAGTCTATTTGATTAGACGAATAGAAATGGAATGTAAATTTCACTAACCTTGTTGCGGAGTGCAGAGTCTTTCTTTGGCAAAAGATTACCACTCTGTTAATTGATTTCAAATCCTTTTTTTACCTGTAGATGGTAAACTATAATTACTATTATAAATAAGTTAAGTTAAATGTGATATTGGCCTAACAAAGATAGACATACCTCTATTTGAAGTAATCAGTGTGGTGGAAAAAACTTTTCTGCTTACATCACATCTACTTGATGTTGATCTTGGTATTCAAACACGTAATGTTTAGACATAAAACTTATTAGATTAAAAGAAATTTTCAATTCTGCCGACTCACCTAATTCAAAGATAAGAGGTGTAAGCAATTGTTTTTGTAGCCGCGGAAGCATGTACTACAAAATGGTAGTAGAGAAATATATAAATGGCAGTAAATCAATTTATGAATGAAATACACCTATATATACAGAAGTAACATTACATGAAAATTTGACTTCTTATGATTTTCATTTAGCTAACAAAGGATCAGAACTTGGAAGCACACTTTCGTTTTTGTCGTGACTCTCAACTTCAGACAAAGACAATGTATTTTCTGAATGTTGCAAGAGTCAACGCCTCTATGTATAGCTGTTTTAGCTAGATGTTTGTGATTGAAGTAGTTGTTTATCCCGTGATGCAACATGAAGCTCGATTTCAAGTACTGCGGTCATTGGAGAAAAATATTACTTATCAGTCGTATTACATAGAATATCCAATTAGTTCAAGAAAAATAGCAGATATTCATTCGTAAGATGACAATGTTCAGACACTAAATTTAGATATACTCTAAAATGACATTTCATCTTAAATTGAGCTCTACACATGATTGACCCTTTAAAATTTAGAGTGTGTCATGCCGGAGGTACGATTGACAGTTGTTTGTTTTATGAAACTAAACAACCAAACTAAATCTTTTGGGCCAGTGTTAACCATACATATTGCAGCCAGTAGTAGATATTATTGTTGAATAGATAAGTAAGAGATGTAGTGGCACCTAAACATATTATGACAAGGAAGAGCTCATATTGTGTTTATATTTGTACTCCGAACAATCTGAATTAAAGGGTTCAACACCTCTAAATGCCCCAATTATTATGTTTAGATGGTAGTTTTATCATGATATATGAATCCTTGAGTCGATTTCTTTTGGTTATACTCTGCCAAGCACAATATTTGTATTGTGCAAAATACACAATACACTCTACTCTTTATATTTGGTTGGAAAATGTTCCCCTCTGTCCTAATTTGGTTATTTCATTTACGATATCAAGCAAAATAAAAGTATAAAAGAATACATTCAGGCGAGCTACTTGGATCGAAGGATAATAAATCCATATCAGACACACACATTCAATATATATGCTATAGCGATATAACTAATGATTAGAAATACTTGGCCCAAATTGATGTGTAAAATAAAAAATCAAATACAATTATTGATATGCATGTCCAGAAGAAGAAGAAGAATAACAAGGCACACGCGAGATAAACTGTGCAAAAACTTCTAGTATAGCCATAAGAAAACCGGACATTTTCTAGAATACTCAGAATTCAGTAGTAAAATAATGAAAATTGATGAAGCCTTGGAGAATATATTTTTTTATGACAAGGAAACCCCACAGCCGCTACCGTTTGGGTGCGCACAGGGTAAAACCCTTGCTTCTATGCAACTAAACTAATCTAAATCCCTGAAAATATATGAAACGACACCCATCACTAATCTCTTGAGACCTCTTAGAGAAGTGTCCATGAGATATGTAAGAGAAACCCCAAACTCCAGCAACAAAGTAGCAGTAACATGGAGAAGTGAAAGTTGAAAGAAGATGTCCACATAAATATAAAGATTGAGCATGTGTCACGAAATGAACATAATGAACCGGTGGCATGAGATTTCTTTTCTAATTGTAAACGAACCAAGCCAATCTCTTAGATATTACTCACTCTTTGTTCGTCTGAATTGGAAGCTTTCTTCAGTATTCATGTTTTGCAAAAGTCAGAGCTCATTAAAACTTTAATGTTCGAAGTATAGTCATTTATTTTACAATCATAAGTAGATTGACCTTTTACAACTCTTTTGATGGCATGGATGGTTGAATTTTTTCTATGGATTCAGATTCAACACATGTTGCTTCCTTCTCTACGTCACTGGTGCTCAGATACTTGAGCTTTTTGTGTTCATAGCTTGTCTTTGTTTGTCTTTGCCCCATCATCACATCAAAAAATTTATGCAATTTATTCTACAAGTGCAATTTAAATGTAGAGATAACACTGAAAATTAGATACCAGTCGATGAACTCCAACGCTTGTAGGTAAATAGGATTTATGCATATTGACGAATTAAATACAATCTATAGTGGTAAACCTGTACATGCGCAATCTAGCCACTGAGTCAAGCACAAACACACAAACAAATGCTCATATAAGTTATGTACTAAGAGCACACATACACACTCCTATCTGTATGACACCACGAGAGGAGCTGCAACCCAATTAAAAGCTATATAAAAATCTGCAGTAGATGTTCAATATTGATCAAATTGCATCTTAGCTTCTCGATGTGCTTTCTATAAAATCGATTACTTCATCAAAATAGACATTGCAATAGATGTTCGATATTGGTCGATACCTAATTAATGTACAGCTACAAAGTCTACATCACTTTGGCTAGATGTTCCTTTTCTGATACCCTTTTTCTTTTGGTTTTTCCTCAATTAGGAACAACGTGTGTGCTAGGCTCCAGATTCTCAATATATGTGTTGCATCTCGATGTTAACGCATTAACATTGAGAAATACATATTAACTAAGAATCAAATGAACAAAACAAAATCTAATCGATAAAAAATAGTTAAATAAGATGAGAATATGTAAGAGATAGAAAATAATGAATCACAAAAAGGAAAATGCTGTAAAATCTCTAAAAGACTTATCAGGGGAGGGAAATCGTCGAAAACGACTATTGGCTGTCATATAGTACTAACTTTTGAGAATTTTGCTCACAGAGCTTTTCTGTATTCTCATTGAATTTTTCCTAATCTAAACCTAAGAAATTGAGACAAAGTAGAAATGATCTCCCGTGTCTCCAAAAGAGCTTCAAGAACTCACAAGATTTCTATTGAGATTCCTGTTAACCTTCCCAATTCCCAAACCAACAACACGTAAAAAGTTAAAGATAATTTTGACTTTAATAAATAAGAAATCAGTATCTCATGAAAAAAATAATTAAACCCAGAAACTGGATGGAAAACCTCATAAATTTATGATTAGAATGAAAACTGACCTCCAATTTCGGTAGTCAAATATAAAATTTCATCACCAATTGATGCAGCAGCTCGGGAGTTAAATCACTCTTCTCAAAATTTCCATCAATTTTCTCTTCCTCTCCGAAAATGTAACACCTCTATTTCTAAGTCTCTTCTTCTCTTTCACCACCAAGAGTGAGAATGGGGAGAATGAAAAATAGAAAAATAGAAACGACTGGAAAGATAAAAAGAACTGACAGAAGAACCAAAGCGAACTAATTGAAAACAACAGGACGTAGAAGGACACATGTTTATTTAGCTGTGAATAGGGCTCAATATAGTGGTACTATTTTCAATGCTATTGGTACAACATTGTAGAGCTGTGTTGGTACTTCACCTTGTTGGCTTGGCTTATATATAAGGGTAATGTCTGAATCTGAATGCACATCTGGATATTAAGATGTACATTAGCATTTAGAGATCTGAATCTAAATACACATTTGAATATTAAGATATTGCATTAAGATCATAATGTTAAATAGTTAAGACTGTTTTTTTCAACATTAGAATGTACAAAAAATAATAAATACAATTCAAATAAAATACTAAATTGATCTAATATTATATCAATAAAATATTTTAAAATTTGTATATCGTCATTGATGGTGGTAATTATTAACAATGGTGATTGTGTATGCCAATTTCGGATGGTGTCGACTGATAATAGTGGTTGTGGGTACTATCATATAGTATAGTGGATGGAGGTGGTGGTGGCTAATAATTAGAAGTGGAGTGATATTGATAGCTAATGGCGGTGAATGATGATGGCGGTTAGGCTGAAATGGTGGTTGTGGGTGATGGGTGAAAGTAGGTGGTGTAGCGGTGAACTGTCATCTTTGTACAAATTCTTAAAAAGATTCTTAATGACATTAATCATTTAGACCCATTAAGTGGTGTAAAATAAGAAAACCAAATGCACTTAATGATTAAGATTCAGGCCTTGCAAACAGATTTAATGAGATCTGAATGAATAAGATTAAGACCTTCCGTAAGTGCAAACAAATGAGACCTTACTTTTGATCGTATAGTAGAATCTAAGGATACAAAAATATCAAAAAACTCTGGAGGCTGTATATATCGGAAAAGACTTTTACTTTCTTACCTTCTTGTACCCTACTCCAATTCCTGCAAACTCACTTCATCGGAATCACATTTTCTTCTTATCCTGCTTATGTATCTTGCCGTATGGAGAATAGAATCTATTTCAGATTAAGGGGGGGGGGGGGGGGGGGGGGAACAAA